TTCAGAATAGTGCCTAAAATGTCACTAAAATGCAGCATTTAAATTTTATAATTCAAAAGAAAATGAGGTGCAAATTGCAAAAAGGTCCACTTTTAGAAAAAAAAAAGAACCACCCCTTTCACCAGGCAGGCTACGGGTCTGTAATAGAATTTGTAATGGCTTTGATGCTCACAATGGGAATTATATTGGCTTTAATGGAATCTGTATCCATTTCAACATACTGGTTTTGATGGTTTGTGTTTTAATTACATTTGTCAAGGTTTCTTACTTCTTTTTCTTCTTCTTTTTCTGCGGTGATGTTAGCAATATGCTAAACATGCTAGCATTGAGCTAAAAGGCTATTTGCCAAAACATACAAGCAACATGTTAAAGTATTAGCAACTTGCTAACTTGCTAAAATATACAAGCACTATGTTAGGACATGCTAGGAATGTGCTAAAACCAACGCAATCTCACGGCAATTTGTAACTTTTTGATTTAGTAGCTAATTCGTATGAATTTGTACAATCTAATTCATACACTTTAATACGATTTGCTCATCACCCAATGACCCCTGGGGTTGGGGTTGCGTGATATCAGGCTGATGTAAACAGCTGAACAGAAATGTGTGAAATATTTTAGTAACTTGAAACATGTTGGTAAATAACCCTGTTGAAAAAATTATTTTAAACCATGGCTGTTTGTTTAAATTGGTTTAAGCTGGTTCTTGCTGGTTAAGTGCTGGTCCTGGTCCTGACTATCTTTGTCTGTATTATTTATCTTCTACTTTACTACTTTTTAAAAAGCTAATAAAACACAAACCAAAAGGAAATGCAAAAATACCGGTATCTCTGTGCTACTAAAGAGCTCAGAAGCTCAGTGCTACTAAAATAACTCTGTCTTTACCCGACATCAGCTCTACACCCTAAAACCCACAGTTGATATCCTTTATAACTAGTTTGCAGTTCCAGAAACCTAAATGACTGAAGTGTGTGTGTCTTGCTGAGATATAACCTGAAGGTGGATGATCCTGCTGCGTCTCCTGCATGAAACCTGAGCTCTAAAATCAGCCCACACTGGAAGTTAATGAGCATTGTCTTTCTGCTGAAAAACTCACTTCTGGCTCTGTAAATTGAAAACCACATAAATTCAGAAAGTATTTTAAGGTGCTGCTTTTTTCTCTCTCTCTCATAATTAAAAATACACAGTGTTTGGCCATCTGTGCGCACATTAAAATGTCTGTGAGTACACTAATTTACTGCGCCAGGCGTTTTATGATCTAACTTCTTTAATGGGCCGTGTGTATGTCTATGTCAAACAACAGGCTGCTCATCCCACAATCAATTCTTAGAGAAGAGGGTGGTCTCCAGAGCCCTCATTTTTCTTTACATTTGAAACCAATAACGTAATGAGAGCTGCCAACAATATCCACTGCTGACATTATGTGCTACCAATAGCGGCACAGGGATATGAACTATGAGGTCATCGGCTGTCTTTCATGATAGAGGCATTTAGGAACTTATATTGTGCTCATAAATAACACAGCGATAAGTACAATATGGTCTCTGTTTATGAATAAATGAGTAGTGCTGGTGGAAATTTTTAGATATAAATTAAATAACTTTTGTTTAGGTATTATTTTAGGTATAATTTATCTGGTATTTGATAATACTTGTCAAAAATAATGCGTCATCATGTATCTTGACATGATTTTATATGTATTATATGTAATATATACTTATCTATATATTTCTTATGTTATGTTTGCATTATTACTTAGTTTTATAGATCTGTATTTAAACCAATATATGATATTGTGTATACATATGCATTGTGTGTATTAGAGTTTGTTTACATATTGTTATTTTGTCAATAAAATGTTTCATATGATATGTCAGCCTATATAAGTACACCCCCTTATAAATCTATCTTTTAAATTCATATTTTAAAAAGGAAACTATACAATATTGTATTTGTGCATATACATTAGGTTACTCAGTACTGTAGCCAAATCTGGAGCTAATCTAACAAAAATAACTTATGATAACGGTTCAAAAACTAGTACACCAAAATTTATATGTTATAGAAAAATATTAAATGGGGTTTTATGATTGCTTGTGGCTGGTTCCGCATTAGCCAATTCACGATTCACCAACCAGACGATTCCTAAGCAACTATAAATACCCTTAGTTCCATACCAAAGAAATTTTTTTAAGAATCCTCCCTTCCACCCCTACATTTCCTCCTTTCTTTGATGGGTGGCATGGCAGCCCAGTGTTTAGCACTGTCGCCTTACAGCAGAGAATGTCACTCGTTCTAGTCCTTACCAAGCCAGCCGCCGTTTCTGAGCGGAGTTTACTTGTTCTCCCCGTGCTCACGTGGGTCCCCCCCCACCCTTCAGGTTCCCCCCAAAAATATTTATTTTCAAAATGGGGCGTACTCAATTATACTGAACATTATGTGTGTGTGTGTGTGTGTGTGTGTGTGTGTGTGTGTGTGTGTGTGTGTGTGTGTGTGTGTGTGTGTGTGTGTATGTGTGTATGTGTGTATATATATATATATATATATATATATATATATATATATATATATATATATATATATATATGTGTGTATATATGTATATATATATATATCTATTATTATATCTTTTTCCCAAATTTTTGTTCAACCGAGAGCAGATTTTTTTTCTCATTTTTTCAACACATTTCTAAACATAATAGTTTTAATAACTCATTTCTAATAACTGATTTTTTTATTATCTTTTCCATGATGACAGTGAATAATATTTGACTAGATATTTTTCAAGTCACTTCTACACAGCTTAAAGTGACATTTAAAGGCTTAACTAGGTTAGGTTAACTAGGCAGGTTAGGGTAATTAAGTTATTGTATAATGATGGTTTGTTCTGTAGACTATCGAAAAATATATATATATATATATATATATAGCTTAAGGGGGCTAATAATTTTGTCCTTAAAATGTTTTTTATTTTGTTTCATTTTTTTTCTAGCGGAAATAAAACAAATAGGACTTTTTCCAGGAGAAAAAATATTATCAGACAAACTGTGAAAATTTCCTTGCTCTGTTGAACATAATTTGGGAAATATTTTAAAAAAGAAAAATTAATTTCTAGAAATAACAGTACTAATTGTCCACCCTCAAGTTCTAAAAATATCACATTGAACTGGAAAACATGACAAAAAAAAAGATAATTAATATACCAATTAAATGATTAAAATAAATTAATTAATTTATTAAGTTTTGTTCCAAATGCCTTTAAGTTCTTTTTTTAACTAATTAAAAGGCATTTGCATATAAAACCCTTAGAATGCCTCCTAATTTTTCCTACATCTCAAATTTAGAAATTAACCGAGCTTCACCTGCTTCTCTGTTTCTATCCGCTAATGCTTGACAAAGGTAAACATTCATTTATAAACAAATTATGATGTAATTGTGTTTTGTTCACCAATACTCTCTCTCTCTTTCTCTCTTGCCCGGGTTTACACCTAAGAGCTTTTGAAAGACACACAGTCAGCCTTCATCTTCTTCACTGCACTTATGCCTTATGACAGGCCTTATTACAATACTGACACCTCAAATTAGCCTTCATGACACAGTCCAGTACACATGTGCACAAACAGTTCAGCACTGCTCTCACAATTAAGTGGCTCGCTTTAAAGCACTCCAGCTGTGAATGTGCGAAAGGAGCTATGATCTAACTAATTCTACAGATATTTTGCCTCTTTCGTATGAAGATAACTTTATTTACATGCAGAAATTTGAACTTACATTTGCTCACCAGCTTCCATTATAAATAAACTGAATGTCTGATAAACTTCAATGCAGCGAAAGTTTTAACAAATTAAGAAAAAGAAGTAGCATTTTAAAAATTTGAGACATAAAATTATATTTTAAGGAGGAATCATGCTTTTTTTTTTCAAATTTTATTAAAATGTAACCTTTTTTTTCTCTCTTTCTTAAGACGGCCAGAAATATGTACTGCTTATCTAAGCCCAGATGTATAAGCAGTTAAAATAATAGGTGTTCATAAATGGCTATTAGTACACGGTAAAAAAAAAAAAAAAAAAACTTGGGGTTGCCTTAAATTTTAAAGCTGAATCAAATTAACCTTATGAGTCCATTCAGCTTACATTATGTTAAACAGACTTAAACAGCATGCGTATTTAAAAATTAAGTTAAAACATGATTACCTTTAGTTTAGTTATGCATTAAGTTAAATAAGTTACAATAAACTAAATACATATGTTGTCAAGACTAAATGATCATAAATATTTTTACATTGTAGTTCTGGGTCGATCTTTATGCTTGCAGCTCTGTCTTTGTCTTGTGCAAATGCATATTTTTACTATGTGGTATGTGTGCGTGTGTGTTCATGAATCTGCAGATTGTACTACATAAGACAAGAAGAAAAAATGCCAGTTTGTAATTAAATAAAATTGAAAAATGTGAAGATTGAATGTGTGTGTGGAACAATTTAAAAAGTTTCTTTAGATTTATGGTTTATAGTTATATGTTTAAGTTAAACTGCGAATGACATTTCTTATTTATTATAGTGTTTATTTCTTCTATTATTTTTATTTTTTTTTTGCATGAATAAAAAGGTATGTTTATATTACTTTTCAGATAACACAATGCCAATATTGTAACTTCAGAAGACTAAAGAAAAATCATTGAACAGTTGAATAAGACAGATTTTCCATCACGTCAATTAAAAACATTTGTTATTCTGACCATTTGTCATTTTCTAAGGGGATAGGATACATTTTAACATTAAAACTATGCTGCACTTAATAAATTCAGCAAATTCAGAGAATGAAAGGTGTCTAGTGTGTGTGTGTGTGTGTGTGTGTGTGTGTGTGTGTGTGTGTGTGTGTGTGTGTGTGTGTGTGTGTGTTTGTGTGTGAATATCAAGGCCAATTTAGCATTACGATCACCTTGATTCAGTCCATTCATACAAGTCTGTATAATTATCATAAGTAATTATGAGTCTTTGCAAGAACAGTTCTGGGATTTATGCCGAGCAGAAAATGATTCAAGGTTGCAAAAAACATTATTAATATATTTAGAGCAGCATACATGGTTGTTTATTATCCAGTATGGAGACATCTGAGAAGATTTCTGAAGTCCGTGTGTTTCTTCAGCACCATGGACAGCGCCTTGTGGCAGTTTGCACCCCAGTCGAGCATAGTTTTGCGCATGCGCGATTCGTTAACGCAAGTTTTATCATTCCTTACAAAATAGTCCACGTTAATAGTCATTGAAAAGATTGAGTAAATATGTGTACAATACAATATTTTATTAGGCGGGACATTATATAGGGACTTTTCTTTTTCCACAACTTACATCTGTGAGCATTGTCACTGAACACTAAATCAATCAAAGCTACGTATTATCCGGAATGTAGAACACACCATAATGTAAATATGTATTTTAGAAATTAGATGTCTAGCAAAAAAAAAAAAAAAGTTTTTAAGACGTCTCCATTGGCTGATATATGATCTTTTTTCTTATTAATAATCACTGTATAGCAGGTGGCCTACATTTGGCTTATTTTCAGTATGTTCAGCATCCAAACGACACATCATTGACAGCACAAAACAGGAATCTTCCATTTCATTCGTGCAAAAATGCTTTGGGGCCATAAAGCACTTCCGCAGCTCCACACCACACACCTCACTGGACGGAAGCCGAATCATTAAGGCTATACAAACACAAAATAAAGCACTGATAAATACACCTAGTTCGGGATTTGAAGTTCGTCTTCGTCATAAATATCTTCTCATTTATATAGTGGTCCAGGTAATTGTCAGTTGCGGATTGTTTCCTGTTGATAAAATCCAAGAACAATCGCGACAGCCAAAAAAGGCGGGAACTCCCTGGGGGCGCGTCCATATGCAGTTTTGTGTTATTTCAGTCTTGTTCAAAGAACTTGGTCTTTTGAAAACATCGCGTTTTGCGATTCAGTTATAGAGGAAAGACTAAAAATCCAGAGAACGTGGAGTATTTCCATCCGCCCATTAGATTCCCTCTTTCCAACTTGAGATAGACTCGATCCTCGCGCTCCACCATCAGTAGAACTCCGTTACTCGCTGCCTCCCGCGTGACATCCTGATCCCCAGCAAAAGCAGAAATGACCGGGTATTCGTTCTGCATCAGGTTCACCTGGATAACAGGACACACAGCGCACTTTAGTCCTTTGAAAGCAGAAAGCAGAGCAACAGCTTTCCTATAGCGTTCATGAATAGCGCGCAGTGTGAGAAGTGTCATTTTTGCAAAAAGAATAATCTGCTCTGCTCACCTGTATGGTTTGTCTGTTGTAGACCTTGACCACATGAAAGCTGAAACTGTATATTCCTCTCCGTGGCGCGGTAAACAGACTCGCCTTTAGGTCGAAATGATTGCCAATGTTTACTAAGACCTGAAACAAAAGCAATATGACGCGTTACAAATCCACCAACAAATGGAAATGTGCGAATCTGCATATTAAATTCACTTTTAGGAATACTGTAGCTCTGCGTTTTTACAGACACATGCGGATCTGCGAGCGGAATTGTGGCAAGCTGTTTATACATTACGTTTTTACAACCAAAAATGTTTTTTTTTCCTAACAAAAAACTCAAATGGGTTTTTCACAGTAAATACAGGCCCACTATAGAGTAGGCCCACCTATTTTGCCTGTATAAAATAACCTTGAAATAGGCCTATTTTAAACACAAATTTCAAATATACCTGTTTGTATAAATGTTCCAAGAATGGAACCGTAAACACCAATAACTGTTATAAATAGTACCATTATTATTATTATTATTATTATTATTATTATTATTATAAATATTATTATTAGACTCTATGCAAATCGATTAGAAAGTATTTTAAATAATGCTGGTTAAAAAAAAAAACAGCTTTAATTGTGTGCGGTATTTAGCTATTTATTTATATATGTAAATTGAAATACCAAAAACTTGATATGATATAGATATTTATCATATTGCTTTTAAATTACTTTTTTATTATCTAAGTGTAATTGTTTACATGATAAAATGGCTTGCCATAAGCGCATTCCAAAACTGTCAACACATCAGGTCAGTTTTAATTACTACAGGTCAGTGACCACAGATGAGTCTTTATTATAATAAACATGCTTCGTGTGTTGTTAACATACACACTGGAGTGAAATGTAACAATTTGACATACACCCGGAAAGGTTTGTCCAATTATTAAAATATGTTTTTATTATTATTTTTTTTAATCAAATAGCCTATTAAGCATTTCACACATTTCATCTGACCAACACACCGCCTGTATTTAAAAATATAACTTACTTTTAACCTATTTACACTTAAAATAAGATTTAATTGGTTAAAGTATCATCCATTAAGGCACTTCGTGAAGTTTTTGGCTGAAAATCCAAGAGTATATCCCTACAAGCAGTTCCTGAGATTACAAAGTCACCGACGGGAAACCTGACCTGGTCAAAATAAATGGTCATGGATGTGTTGCTCATCTCCGAAGGTTCATGGTTTGTCCCTCTGACAGCCGAAAAAGCCACTTTGGCGCTGCCGGAACGCACAGATATCCCGAGCGAAGAGGTGACTCCTCCGTCAGAAGAGGGGTTGGAGTCGCACACCACCAGACACTTTCCCTCCAGAACGATGGGCTCGGTGTCATTCTGGCCCAGACAGAGCCCTATGCCACATCCCAGGAGAAAGGCGAGAGCCAGCATGGCAAAGGGTCCGGGACAGGCTGCTGGCACCATGATCGGAACAAGAATCCTGTGCAAACTGATCTTTACCACCAGCCCCTTGGAGGTTTGATGTGGCTCTATCACCTGGTCCAAACTAACCTCTCTCTCTCTCTCTCTCTCTCTCTCTCTCTCTCTCTCTCTCTCTCTCTCTCTCTCTCTGTAACTCGCCGTCACACACTCCGTTTCTTCTCGTCTTTGCGCATCAGTTGGAGGTGTTCAAAGTATTTGAAACGTCTCCTGAATAAAAAAAAAATGCAAGAAAAAAGAAACACAAAAAACAAGAAATAAGAAAGTACTAGGGTATACACATAGTAATATCTCAATTGATAAGTACTGATATAAAATAAAAACAATTAAATCTCTATATTTTAGTTTGGCGACATACAATTACGCAAATACACGCATCATCTAATATCCACCAAAACAAAACAAACTACGTCAAAAACTATGCTTTTACAGTTATACATGCTTTTCCCTATAGTAAATATCAGCAACCACATACCTTCCCGATCAAATAATGACGAAAAAATTAATAAAAGAATAGCAGCAGTTGCGTCTGCACGGAATATGGTATTATTGTGTTTTCTTTTCCCCCTTATACTTCACGTTGCCCGGTATGTTACCTGTTAAATCCATAGTTGGTGTGGTCGGTGTGGCTGCTCCTTCAGCTGTCTTGAGAAGGAGTGAAGCGCGCGCCCAATAAGAGTGCAGAAAAGCAATTGCTCCTTCAGCCTTTTTAGAGGGCGATTCACGCCCATCCCTTCTTTTCAAGTACAGTAATATTTGTTGAACGGACGTTTCTGAACCTAAAAATTAGACATTGGAAAAAATCGTGGATTTGAGAGTTTATTTGCACAACCTTTAATAATGCAAATTCCATTGTTTTGCAGCATTCTTAATTTACTGAACATAGTAAAATAAAGTGTAGTAAATATATTGTTTGCACACACGTCAGCAGATAAGTAGACGAGCTATAAATATGAACCTGTTATTATAGAATGAAATGAAATGCACGTTTGGAATTGCATTATCCAATTGGAAAACATTCAAAGTCAGACAAAACTCTTGTGCTCCACCCTGTGGAGAAATAGTGCTATGACTAACTGTGACTTTAACGAAATTGCAGCATCACATAATCGTTCGTTAGACTATCATGTTTATGAAGTTACCTAAAAAATAAAAAATAAAATAAATAATATTATTGCATGTGTTGTTGTCCCATGGCTGCTCATATTTAGTGGTGATTTTAAGGTTCCAAGCATTCCACAAAATAAAAAAAAAGGAAAAATACAGCAGTTATGAATATCTGCAGATGGTCTGCTAAACTAATACAACAAAGCAAAATATAGGTGCTAGCTAACACATCATATAAAAACAGTGGATATTAAGATAATACATGAAATAATACATTATTTCCACTTGTGAAAGATTATCCATCCAGTTTCTTCAGGAATTAAAAACCACAGGCTGCATAATGTTGTGGCATCTTGTAAAGCTCATTGATTTTACTGTGAGTGTTGACACTAAAAATCAATGAAAAATTAATGCTTCAACGTGTCTGGAGCGATTGAAGGTGGTGTCATGCATATAGTTAAAGATTCTTTATGGAAGCACAGCATATGTGCCAAATAACAATCTTACAATAAGAGTGTATAGGTCAACCTTTTGTAGTAAAAGTTGGTTTGTATAGCTTAAAAATACAGGCAGAAATGAATTATTAGAAAGAAAAAAAAACGAAATGAAGTGTAAAGGGTTAATTGTTGTCTTTAATTCAAAAGTGGTTTAAAAATTAAATCTGTGCCACTGTACTTCATCAGTCATTTTAATTTCATTAATGCTGAAGAAAATGTATAATTTAAAATCCTAAAAGCAAGTAAATAATAGAAATGGTATTTAAAAGTAAAACTTACAATAAAGAAGATGGTAAAGTATGGCTTTATGCAAAAAAAAATGAATTTTGAATATGAAATTAGGTAAGTAAAAAAGAGTAGTAAAGTTGTGGCGTAGCCAAGTATTTAATCCATCCAAGTGCACACACACACACACACACCCACCCACCTACACACATACAGTGAACACACATCTGGAGCAGTGGGCAACCATTGAAGCAGTACGCAGGGAGCAGTTAGTGGATCTGTGCCTTGCTCAAGGGAAGTTGGAAGTGATCCGATCACAAGTTTCCGATTACAAATCCAACATAGGCCATGGCCGCCCCATTTTTTATAATTTAAATAAAATCATAAATATTTCAGACAGAACTAATTTGGCAATTTAGGATCCATTTATTAACAAATGAAAATGTCTGGTTCGCAATGATGGTTTTTAATTAATGGCTTCATTTCTGGCACATATACTATTTATGATTTAACCCCCCTGTAACCATAGGCAAATACAGAAGATAAGGATTAAATTGGGTTGTATTATAAGACTTGGTGATAGACCCAATGACTTTGCTGTGGAGCATGTCTGTCCTTCTGCAATGAGTTCTGTAATGTTAAAACTTGAGGGCTTGGTAATTTGGAATGAGAGGAGATGACAGCCAGAAGCACAGGTATATTTTAACTTATAAAATACTTGAACTATGCAAGCAGTTTGAGTATACTTACCTATGCCTACGTGGCCTGACTAAACTATTGCTGCACTCTATATAAATTAAATTGGGCTGAAGAAATATGCAGGTCCCCTCTCTAACCATCAACAAACTGAGTACAATCCTGCAAAAACGAATTGCATATGCATATACATTACATGAAGAGTAGTTGGTATTGTTTCTACCTGAAACAAGTATGCTATATTCATCTTATTGGTATATAAATCAAGATTATTAGAGATAACATTTAAAAGACAATTTTAGAAACTTAATTTAGGCATGTATGTTCAGCTCAGATATACGTTTTTTTTTTTTTTTTTTTTGTCTATGATAAAATTTTTAGCATGTACTGTTAAATGGTTCACTTTAGTTTATGATACACAGTGAGGTCCATCTTATTTCACCAAGGTCTACTTACTTTAACATGTTTGCCCTTGCCTCTGCTAGACAGAAAGCAGTGCAATGCCTATACACATTATTTATTAGACATAACACAGAAGAAAGATTCAAATCGAAACTGTTAGTTCCCATCAAAGATACAGTCATATAATTAATTCATACTTTAGTTCATATATCATTTGGTCATTGAGGTTGTATATCTCTTGCTTCTGCCTGGGTTTTTTGTAACACAAAACAAAGCCTCTGGTTACTGAAACAGTAACATCAGAAAGTTTATGAGGTTTATTTTCAAACTAGTCATTATTTCATCCCCACTTGTAAGGTGAGCTTGACATAAAAAAAAAAAATAATAAAAAATGAAGGTTCCAATGATGATCAAATTGGTGTATTTTGTCATTTTTTGCAAAATAAGTTCAAAACATAAAAGTTCAGCTGGTATACTCCTTCTTACTACTATTTAATTGACTTAGATTTTCTACCACACTATCTGCAGTTTTTATGCAGATCATTTTAGAGAATTTTAACTGAGCTTTTTGAACTACTGCTAAGACAGACAAATAATAATGTTATAGAAAACTCTAAAATTTATGGGGGGGCGGGGGCTGGGGTCTGGATTATTACAATGCAAATAAACATAATATGGACAAACTTAAAAATTGAGTTAAATTTGGACCTATACTTTAATTAACAAAAAAATTAACCCAGCAACTGGTTTTGTCCAAAGTTTACCCACAATTGAGTTTATAACAGCATTTCCATGGTGTATGAAATGCAATACAACATGAACAAAAATGTTGTGATAAACTTCAGAGATTTGTTCAAACGTTCACATTGCTATTATCAGATGTTTTAGTTATGTCACTGCTGTAATTTTGAATTTTAGATATATGTGTATATATGTATGTGTGTGTGTGTGTGTGTGTGTGTGTGTGTGTGTGTGTGTGTGTAACATGAAGCACATTTAAATGTCGTTCACAGCGCATCAATAAGTAAGAACATTAAACCTCTCGCAATGCAAACATCTTTTTATCCCTAAATGAAGAACATAGAAATAACTTTGTTGTGAGTATTAGAGCCTTTAGTGTGAACCTCTGTTCTAGCTTTATAATGACAAATAATTATTTCTGTGCTTTTTATCTTATAAATTCATTTTGAAGAAGCTCTGGAATTTCTGTAAGAAAGCATAAAGTGTGATGCCGGGTTTGACAGGTCTTTTCAGTATGTGTTATGTCCACTGAACCCATCCTTAACCTCCCTAATTAATAGTTTTCCTCACTCTTCAAAGTTGCTAATTGGAAATATTATGTAAGCTATTCATGGCTGATGCCTTCTAAAGAGTGAAATGATGATACTGCATTAATTCATAATAGAATGAGTCAATGCCTTCATAATAGGCTTCATTCTTTGGGATACTTGGAAGACTTCTCTGCCACTTTAAAACAATCAATGCCCTCTCAAAACCCTTTTTAGGGCTGGATTGCTGTTAAAATACTTTAAATGCACTTCACCTGCAAGAGCTGAGCAGTTCATGTTGGTAAAATGTATCTTATTAAATCATACAGTACACTTTCCTATTTTATAGTATGTTGGTAAACACTAGCACATCAAAATTCATAATATTCAAAAAACAGTATAAGATGTGTATCTAGATGATATACTGCTTCGGACATGATTCTGAAGTGCACATACAATTTACTATCATAGTACTACTATCCTGTTTACTATCACAGTTTATCAGGGTAGAATGTACTATATGGATGGAGATGACTAGAAAGTCATAGGTTATATCTAATTTTCAACACAATCTCATAGCTATTCACAACTTTTTGATTTAGTGGCTAATATTTGTAATTAGAGTAAATTACTTTAAAAAAAATAATCAGGCTACTGTCACTTAATTATGCTTACATTTTATTTACACAGTGACAGTAAGATTCATTTTTCACAATTCACTGACTGTCCTGACTTTTTTTCTTTTTAAAACATATATTTTTTTCATAATTATTCTGCAGCTCAAACTGTATATGTTTATGATTTGTAATGTTTTCAATGTTCCTGTCGTTTGATGTTTTTCATTGATATTGTCATATGCACATATTTTTTATAAAAATTTGATCATATTGTGGTCATATTGCTGTGGATTATGGTACTATTGGTTTTGGTAATGTAATAAACATTACTTCAATACGTTATGTGACAAAATAACGGTTACAAAAGTAATCTTAATGTAATCTGACAGTAGTCAGATTATATTACCATCAATGTGTAATCTAAGAAATTTGAAACCACTATAAAATTGGACATAGTGAATGGTAAATATTTTTTTTGGCATCAACTAATAATGAACAATGCTTGCAGCATTTATTAATCATATTTCAGTCATAATCATTATGAATCCAACAATGTATTAAACTTTAATAAATTCTTTAATGGATGCATTGTTCAGTCATGTTAGAAAATACATTAGCTAATACTACCTGTCCCAGATTGTAAAAATGTTATCTTTTATATGATTGACTTTAAATGTTTTTCAAGTATTTTGTAATTAGTAACTATTGCAATTATTCAGAGATTCACCCCTTGATTTCAAATTGCATACATATTGTGTTTCATTTGTGAAGTTAGTTTAAATTCTCTAGCTGTTGATGACTG